AGGCGCCCCTGGTGTCTTTTTTTAAAACCAGGTTTTGGAAGCTCGTCCATCGTGTGTTCAGCACATTGTTGTGCTTTGATTTCATCCCTCCTCCCGAGGGTGACCTTACCTGTGTGTTAGACTGTCAGATACCGGCTCACAGGCTCTTCTCATTTTTTCCTCACTCTCGCTTCTCCTGCAGGTTAGATAATTTCCCTCGACGTGGATTCACTTTCACACACTATTACTTCCGTCGTCGGTCCGCCGTCGGGACCTCCCAGTGGATATTTCATTTCCAAGTGCTGTGCTTCTTGGTTCGAATTCCCGGTTTTTAAAACAGTTTCCATTTATCTGCTAACATTCCCGTGTCCATTCACTCACAAAAGTAATATTTTCCTTTAATTCTTTGAACATCTGTTCCTTGGATTCTTGAAACATCTACAGTCGCTGCTCCACAGTCATTGCCCAGCCACTGTCCGGGCCATCTCAGGTTTCACGACTATTGATTGATTTGTTTCCTTAACTGGTGGATTGCATTTTCTCTGCCTCTTGTGGCCAGGGGTTTTGTTGTTGTATATTGCAATTAATTATGGTGATACATTTAGAAGGCCTGCATTCTCTTTTCCTGCCTATTCACTTTGGTTCTGGGTGATCGCCAGTTATTAATTGATCATGTTGAACTTGAGCGGGTTTTACACCTGCTCAGGGTGGCTCTGCGGGAAGCCCAGGGGGATTACTAAGCTCCTTGTCTTCGTGGGGGTAGAATTCCAACCGTCTTCTCTGGAAATGTTGCCACTGGTTGGCTTTGTTGGGGCAGGCCCAGAGTAGGGCTTCCTGTGGGTCTGGTCGCTGCTCCGGACGCCTGACTGTGTGGGGTCCTAGCAGCATGTGGGGGCTCCCCCTCCGTCCTGCAGCACACACTCAATGTTAAGCCTCTGGTGGTGTTGCCCCGAGCACAGACAGCCCTGCCACCTTGGACACATTTACAGCAGCGTCTCACGCAGACTCACGCACGTTCCCTCCCTCCTGATGGCCCACTCCTGGGATTCTAGCTGCTTCTGCTGCCCGAGTGCGGGGGGCCTTCCTCCTCGGCAAGCGGGCCGTCGTGTTCTGCGAAAACCCCAGCCCACTGAACGGCCTTCGGGATGCTGGCCTGGGCAGAGCCGGGAGAAGGCCGAGCGTCTCTCGTGTGCACTCTTCCTCTCGGCAGCCGGTCTGTGCCGGTCGGACCGGCCGCGGCCCGAAGACGGAAGGCTCGTCGCTGTTCTTGGGTCGTGTCGTTGAGGGAGCGCTAGACTACCAGCGCTCCGCGGGTTTCCCCGGTATCGTTCCGTTCTCCAGACTCAACGCTTGTCTGTTCTGGGAGGTTCCTGGTCCACACAGCAAAGGCTGTGGCTTGAGGAGCCCTGCAGGTGTCATTCCTGTCTGCCTCGGTGTGGGCCCCACGGAGACAGGCAGCTACCAGGCTCTCTTACCCACCTATCGCTGCTAGAACGGTTGGAGGACGTGGCTAGGTGTGTGGCTGCTGAGACAGAACCAGGCAGACTCCTGTCAGGGACAGCCTGTCCTGGAAAACTGTAGATGACACCCCCCGCCCAAAAGAGGTCACGGTTTTACGCTGAGATTGCCCCGTCCAGGCAGACCCCAGCCAGAGCTCTCTGCAGGCGGGCGGCCCCAGAGTCTGCAAGCAGAAAGGATTGGGGGGGGAGGGGAGCACTGACGGACGTCTGTCCTCACGGAGGAGACCTCGGAGTGGGGAGCGGTGTCTCCCTGACAAACAGGGAGGCCCACGAGTGTTTGTCTGGGCCCGGATGCGTGTGCCTCTGTGGGGGTGCCTGCACCTCCCTGAGCTGTGTGTCCATCTTTGGGGCCGTGCGCCAGAAAATTCTCGTAAACCGGTCCTGAGTCTTGTGATGCAGCAGCCTCCTGCAGAAGCGTTTTCAGAAACGCCATCAAGTTCTCGGGGTGTTCCCACTGTCGGCGGGGCGCGGGGCATGAAGGTGGCCGGAGAGACCTCGGATTCTTTGTAGGAAAGGCATGGAGGTCATCCAAAGGCGCTCTCTGGAGTTCACAGGCCAGAGCCCCGAGGAGGGTGGGGAGTGCTCCTCCAGGCCGGCTTTCAGGCCCAAGACGTCAGGCGAGAGCCCCAGGGAGGAGAGGAAGACCCACCGCTGACTCAGCCCGTCACCCGGGTCCCAAGTGACCCTGTGTGTCCCTCCGCGGCCCCCCGGCCCTCACGCGCTTCCCAGGGACGCCCCTGCTTCCTGCAGGGCCGCACCCCTGTGCAGCGGATGCCCTGGCCTTGTGCGGCCTGCTTCTCTAATGACGAGGTTTTTCTCACGACGAGGATCAGAGGTCACTGCCCGCCAGGAGTTCTCCGTGACCCGTGCCCTCAGTCCACACCCGTGCTGTGGGCCAGTGGTCACCGTGTCCTTCCCGCGTACCGGCCGCCGCGTGACCTCCAGCTTCTGGGACACTCGGACGTGAGCCCGACACTCTCGATCTCCCCGTGTCTGCCCCGGAGCCTTCCTGACGGGCAGAGGCTGTTCGGGGACGTCATCGTGCACAGAGGGAGGTCGGGAGGTCTGCGTTTTCAGATTCACGCAAACGTAGCTCGTGTGAAATGGTGAGGAACGAGGCGCCAGTAACACACTCGGGCAGGTTTCCAAGTGCAACACGAGCATGGGGAGGGGCAGTTAGTCACGCGGGCGAGCGCCAAACAAACAAAACACGTGCGACAGAAAACTAAGTTCTGGGAGACGGCCCGGAAGCAGCACAAACCAGGAAGACAACTGTTGTGTCCCGTGTTGCCAGGACGCCCACGGCCCGGTATAAAGGCGGTCCAGGCAAGGAGCCTCCAGACATCCCCGCCCTCCTCCCTCCCGGACACCGGCCGAGCCCCACGCCAACATGTGCCACGCCAGCTGCTCCGCGGGCTGCCAGGCTTCCTGCAGCTCCTCCGGCCCCTGCCAGGCGTCCTGCTGGGTGCCCGTGAGCTGCAAGCCCGTGTGCGTGCCCGTCAGCTGCAGACCCGCCGTGTGCATGCCCGTGAGCTGCAGGCCCGAGTGTGTGCCCTCCTGCCAGTCCTCCGTGTGCGTGCCCGTGAGCTGCAGGCCCACGTGTGTGCCCTCCTGCCAGTCCTCCGTGT